AATTGCATTCTTTACATTATTTTTGAACTATATGTATATATATATATATATATATATATTATAGAATTTTTGTTTATTATAATTGTCCATTAGTTTTTGTTCCATCAGTTCTTGATATATATGTATTGTATTCTCGAACTATCATTAATTCTGATTCATTTTTGATGTATATATATAATATATATATTTATTATATATGATATATAATATTTTACTTGTTATATGTATATGATATCTTATTTATTTCTCTTCCAAATTCTTGAAATTAGTTGTCCAATCTAATAGTTGTCCAACTAAAAATAGCTTCTATCAATAACAAATATTTAATCTTAACAACAAAAATTTCTATTTAAAAATATATATCTACATGTTGTGAAGAATTTCATCTATTGATTAAGAATGATTTTTCTATGAAAATTGGATATAATTTATACATAGGTCCAGGGATTAATATGAATGGGACGGGAAAAAATGTCAGCTCCATAATAAGAGGTTGCACACTGGCTGGCCAATTTCATCTACCAGGAGCATCATGGCATCCTTATTTACCACCAGTGGGATTTGATACTTGTGCAGTTTGCACATGTGACGTAAGTTTTTAAAAATTACTTTATTTATGGTTTTTTTTCATTATAAATGGTATGAATTTAATTGATTGTTGAAATTTAACAATGGATTTCTCTTCGTATTTCTCCATCGTTCAATTATTTCTTTAAAATAGCGGAGTGATCCTGATTATCAATAGACTATAGAAAAAGTATTTTGATTTTCAATAAATTTTTCGAATTTAATTGAAGCAAAAAATGAATAAAAAATCTTTTTAATAATATTCACGTGCTTATTTGCCATTAAAAGAATATAATTCATTTAAACAAATTCCAAATATTTTTTTCAAGTTAATAAGCTACCAGTTTTTTCCCAGTTACAATAAGCTGTGACGTAAATGTTCTTTAACTTTAGATCGAATTTCGAAACATGTTGGAATTTAAATGGTCCTGTGATGCGGAACAAGAGAACTGAAACGCGCAAGGCACGAAAGTTTCGAGGCACGGTTCGAATTCCATAGGCGACTGACTTTTTCCAGATTCTTTGTTTACCTCTTTACCATACGTTCACTCTTGCAGCCGCCGGCCAGTTTCGTAACGATTCCAGCATCGGTGTCGATTCTGCGACATATGCTATAATGCTCTTGTAGGTAATGCTTATAAAAGGCCCGCAATGAAAAATTTAACCAAACACTGGGGCATACTCATACATGCGCGCTCATTCGTGCGCGCATGCGCGCGAGTTCGTTGCGCCAGAAGAATGCGGTTGCTCTCTGCCGAGTCATGAAAAGGAGCTTTGCAAACGCGGCAATCGATAATCAGTGACAAGCCTTTCTAAATAGATATTAGAAAATTGTTTGAAGTCATGCCTGAGACACATTACACCAAGTCATGTTCATTATCGAAGATAAGATGCTGGTTTTGATTCGTTGCTTGTCACTTAAATCGCGCTTGACTAAGTCCGTATATGTAATAAGGAGAAATGTCGATGCTGAATAATATATTCGTATTCGTTGACAAATCAAGAAGTTGATATGATAAGTGCTCTATGTGACTTTATCTTGAATATATTTTTCATATCTATTTGGATTTCAATTTATACAATGGAATTTAATCATGAATCATATATATAGAAAGAAAAGCTATGCAGCTATATAATTCTAAGTTTTTAATCTAACCTCTCTCTATCACAATTAAAAGGTAGTCAAATTTTAATACTTCAGTTTAATACTTTAGTTCTTTACCTATGAATAAAGAAATGAATTTAATCATATTGTTTATAAAATTAAATATATATATAATTATTAATTAGACGTTAAAGAATGATCAATACTATATAAATCGAAAACTTGTGTGAATAATTTTCACGATGGCCTATTTTTTTTTCAATAGTTAATAAGAAATAATTTTTTAAATAAATTTATTAATCTAGTTTATAAAAAATAAAAATATATATCTTTTTTAATTTTATTTATATAACAATTAAATGTCTCCTTTTTTTATCTATTTCAAATATTTCTATCAATTAGTATTATTTTAATATTAGATATTTAATTTTAACATTTAATTAATTACAATAATTATTAAAGCTCGATAGATAAATGATGTCACAGTAATAGCCATCATTATTATATTAATAAAAATATTAATTTTTTTTATGATAATCGCAATTTTGCAGAATAAAAAATCATAAATAATTACGGACATTTTTCCCTTTTTTTTAAATTAATATATATATTTTTATTTATTAAATTAAATTTATATTAAATTAATAATAATTAAAATATTGTGAAATCATATTAAATAGTTTCAATATAAGATTAGCATTAAATTTTAACTAATAATATTCATTTATTTTATAGCCTATCACGTTAGAAGTAAAATGTCCACGAGTACAGTGTCCACCGTTGGATTGTGATGAGAAGATCGCTTTTAGGCCTAGCAAGAAGGCTTGTTGCAGACAATGTCCAATAACAACACCTAGCTCGGCAAACATGGGAAGTGACACAACTCGTTTGCCACGAGATCAGGCAGCACCATCCACTAAGCGCACTGCGGAGGAAATATTGGCTTCCGGCGGCTGCAAGAATCCCCTTGGTAATCCCTATGAAAATGGAATGGAGTGGCATCCACGAGTTCACTCACATGGAGAAATGAAATGTGTCAAATGCAGATGTAAGGTGAGAATTATTGATCAATAATTTTATTTTTTTTTTTTAAATTTATAAATTTGTCCACATAGTTGCTTTATATATTGGAGTTGAAGAATTGGACTTAGTTGATTTGGAAAAAATTGTAAATTATAAAGATTTTGAAAATGGCATTTTTTTCTTTTATAAAATTAAAATATTTCGTATAAGATCGGTATAAGGTAAGGTAAAGTTTTTAAGATTAATTCTTAAAAACTTTAGACTTTATAATATTATAGACTTAAATCAATACATTTTGAATAACTCAAACAAACACACTATTATTTATAAAACATAACGATATTAAAATGAATGAAAATTTTTTGTAATCTGTCTATTGGCATTTTTTTTTTTTTTTATGTGCAGTAAAAATGAGATTACACTAATGTATGAAAACACAGACGTTCTCAGATCATAAAGGTTTTGCGGCTACCAATTGTCCATCAATTGGTCATTATTTGAGGCGGATAGAATGCATTTCGTTTTGATCAGTAGTGGCGCTCGTGCGAATTTCAAGATTATGATCACACATTGCGGTAGAGAATGATCGTTCTAACCGCGATCACCAGAGCATCCATGCAATTTGTAGCCGCAGCGAGATTAGAATGATACGTGAATGCATGAATTGAATTTATGTATAGAATAATTTATGCAACCTCGCCAAGATATAAAAGATGTAGGTTAAATTAATGTTATGAAAATTTATATACATATATATATATATATATATATATTTAATATTTTTTGTTTAAAATATTTTTCATATTTCATATCTTTAATTTTTTAATATATATATTCATATATATTGCATTTGATGAACATTGTGAATATAATTGTGATTTAGTTCAATTGTAGATAAAAATAAATGAATATTAAAAAATTAGAGATATCTATATGAAATATGAAAAATATTTTAAACAAAAAATATTAAATAAAAAATATAAAAATCATCTTATAAAGCAAAATCATTATATATATATTGCGAAGTTGCATTATTAATAACATATTAATATTTTGGTATCATATATGTAAATATAAAATAACTTCTCGTATGTATAATGTTGAAAACTAGTTGTACAAGATCGTCATGCTATTTTACTCAGTGAGTGTGACAATTTCCGGTTTACACGATCGCTCTTAACCTCTCATCAGCCGCATTCCACTCGTGTTTAAAGGTGACCAACACGATCGAGAAGACACAACTTTACTACTTTATCATCAGCATGAATCGAATAATATATATTATTTATTAAATTACAAGTCATTTGTGTATTATTTCAATAGAATATTAGGTTTCTTAAAATTAGATTTCTTAATTTTAATTAATTGATATATATAAGCATTTAATATTTAAGGGAATATTTTTTCAACACTTTATATATACATGTTGAAAAGATATTCTCATAAAATATATATTTGAATAGAATGCTTCAATATTTTTGATCTTAGTATTTGTTTAGTCTTCGTACAACAATATATGTTCTATAATTTGGAATAAAGATTAATTAATATCATACAAAATTATAATATTAATGATACTTACATTAAAATATTCAGTAGTGATTATTTGCATTTTCTTTATAATTTTAATTCTATTAATAATGCCTTATTTTATCTATAGAAAAACTTATCTTTCTGTGCATTATCATATACTTTTTCATAGTTTTATAATGATAATTGATAACAATTTTTTATTCATATTGCTTCCAAAATAAAAGTTCTGTATATTTTAAATTAAATAGCAAATTTTAAAATCTAAAATTTTTTTAAAAATTTTACTTTTGGTATGCTTGATATATTTTTCTTTTATTTTTTTTTTTTATAATTTTGGAAAAATTTTTTAAGATTTAAAGTGTATTATTTATATTAAAAGATTTTTAACATATTCTAGTGAACGTTACTGATCATTTCAAGTAAGAAATAAGAAATTCTTATGGACATTTTCGTTCTCATTTCATTACTCATGCGAAGGTCTCATCGAAAAAACAGTTTGCCTTATTTTTACGTACAGCCTCATAGTATATACTCGTTAGAAGTTCTTCGATGGCAGCCTCGTTGCGATATCCAGACACGGTCACGACCAGAGTCCTTTAAGGAGAAAACCTTTAACCGGACTTGTTCGCCTGGGCCGACCATTAAGAGGGTCCATCCATTACGATGAAAATGGAACGTGACTACGGATCGCGCGAGCAGACCAGCATTACATGGAGAAAAAGTTTCGTGTCTCTCCGATTCCGAGATTACTGTCGAGATACTCTATGTTTCATTAAATTGTACTGTACATCTATCTTAATCATCTTTCTTAATGTGATTTAAACATAATTTTTTAATAATAATTTTTTAAAAAGTGAACAAAATTTTATTTAAGAACGTTTTTGATATATTTACTTTTGTATTATATTCGGCTTTTTTCTTTATAATGTATTTTAATTTATAATTTTTATAATAAGTACAATAATTAATTTATAATTATTTACACAAAATTAATCAATTTATTAAACAATATAATATTCTTACAGAGAGCACAGAATAACACATCTGTTCTGTTTCGTGTTCGGAATACGACTGCGTTAAATCGAAATATTTTGAATTTGAATAACACTCGGTGTTGTGATTTCTATATCGCAGTTTATATTAATCATAACATACATACAATTTATATTAATGGTAATACATTACATAGTTTTCTATATAATATATTATAAATAATATATAAATAATATATTATTGTAAATAATATATAATATATATTATATTATATTATATAAA